CCAAGCAACACTGTACAACAAAACAGCAACAACATCAATCCACTGACGAAGAACAAATTAAAATATACCAACTTGCTTGGTGGGGACTGTTGTAGGGACTGGTGGTCTCTTCGAGTAACACGTCCGAAATATGTGAGGTGACGAAGCCTCACTGTCTTCACCCCCACAGAGCAGTCTGGCTGTGCTTCCTGCAAGACAGATTTGCTTGTTCTTGTGGCAGCCTATGATATTTCAAGATTCTTCACCATAATTAAAATGCATCGGTTTTCTGTCTGTCTTTCACATGAATGTGAGGAAATGGAAAATAGCGTGGCTTGCCCAGGCGAACCTTAATCCTGAAAGTGACATGTTTGCACTTTAAAAAGGTCTTGTGTGAATTCTTGATTACTCCTTCCATGAGCATTGATTGTAGATGCAAGCAAAACAAAATCCCTAACAACTTCAATCTTTTCTCCTTTTATCCACGTGGATGTTGTCTATTGATCCAGTAGTGAAGATTTTGGTTTTCTTTACATTGAATTGTAGTCCATACTGCAGGCTGCAATCCTTGATCTTCATCAGCAAGTGCTTTAAGTTCTCCTCATTTTCAGCAAGCAAGATTGTGTCATCTACATATTGCAGGTTGTTAATAAGCCTTCCTCTCATCCTAATGCCGAATTCTTCCTACAATCTCGCTTTTCTGATTATCTGATCAGCTTAGATTGAATAAGTACGGTGAGAGGATACAACCATGATGCAAGCCTAGCCGGATTTCAAACATGTAGTATTCCTTTGTCCTGTTCAAACCACTGTCCATGAGTAAGTTCTGCATGAGCACAAGAAGTGACTCTTGCTAGGGTCAGCAAGTTGGTTTTCAACTCCTGTTGAGCCTACGGGCCGAAGTAGACCCGCGCCACAGGATTTCCTGGGCTGTGACCTTTAAAGAAGGCTGGGTATTTCTTCCCAGAAGCTGTTGGTTGGTTCCAGCAGTCAAACTTACAGGTGCTGTCAAACTCTTACCCCCTCTTATCCACCAGAGCCCCTTGCACATCAATAAGTACTTGCTAGTCATACTAAACTCACTGCCATCGAGTCAATTCCAACTTACACATAGCAATCCTATAGCACAGGGTAGAACTGCCCCTGTGGGTTTCTGAGACTGCCACTCTTTATAGGAATGGAAAACTCCTCTTTCTCCCTCGGAGTGGCTGGTAGTTTCAAACTGCTGGCCTTGTGGTTAACAGCCCCACGTGTAACCGCTACACTTGAAATCAAGGAACCCTCAATGGCTTCAAAAATGGGTTCCAGCATCACAACAATTGCGAGAACGGCCCAGGGCTGGGCAGTGTGTCATCCATTGTATGTAGACCCCACAG